CTATCCAGGTCTTTGCTGCATTACCTGTGTGTTTGACATCGCTGCTGTAAAATAAAGCAGTCAGATGCTTTCCAGCTGGAACTGAAGGGTGGAGCAAAATCTCAGTTTGTTCTGCATTCAGAATTACTTCAGGTTTAAGAAGATCCTGAGCTGGCTGACATGCAGTCTCTGTTGTACAGACGAGACCGTTACTGCACCTGTTCATCTACAATCTGAAGCTAAAATCTCACATTTGGACGCATCACTCTATCAGACTGGTTGCCACCAATTTTTAGTGTAGTTGTTGAGTTGTCTGGCACTCCTCAGCTTGTTGTCAGTTTACCCTGCTTCTTTAGATATTTAAGACAGCTACTACTACTTTTGTCCTCCACTTGTCCAGTTTCTTGACTGCATACAATGCCAACATCTGCAGGAGTTTACAGGAAAAAGCTCTTTTTGTCACAGTGTTGGTGACAGAACTACACGGCAGCGTTCAAACAAAAGAAATCTGAACCAATTATGTGTTTCAAAACTGTGACAATGTTTCATCCCCCAGAAAAAAACTACTGCTCAACACCACTCGGGTCTTTCTCCTTGGAAGCAAAGACTTCAAGAAATGGGCGGCTGGCTCAAGACCTTTGTGGAGTTAGTAAAGTGAGAAGACTAATCTGTGTAGTTTTAAAAGCAGAGGGTTTTCCCCACTCTTACTCCAGATGTGTAAGAAAACCCCTCGGACAGTGAGGCTTTAACCTAGACCAGTGCAGATCATACAATCATGCACACAGAGTCGTATAGAGATTCTTTGACGGATATTATGTACCGACTTAATGAAAAACTCAAACTCTAAGCAGATGAAACACGGTTTCCACTCGTGTGCAGCCTGTCATGACGTTTGAAATGTGCTACTGATGTTCAGAAAGTTCTTAGTTGCAACTGTCTGCATGAGCGGTCTGAATTATTTAGACCACCTTCATAAATTTGTGTTACATTGTAATTTAAAGACAAGACTGAATGTCTTTTATCACCCAGCTCTAACGACACTCCTCATTGTTTTATTCCTGCATATTGATACAAAGTGTTAAACTACTCCGAGTACGTTGGCCGCATTCACTTACATTTTTTGTCCACCGTTTGACTCCTTCGTAGCCTTTTGTCCTTAGCTTATCGTAAAAGAAGCTGTTGAAAAAATGGACCTGAAAAAGAAAAGAAAAAGATTTTGATTGATAACAGTAAACATGTAGTAATGGGATTACACAGACCATTACTACGTGAGCAGCAAGGCTCCAGTCAACGCAGCCAGAGACAGGACTCGACACAGTCCAACGTTTGATTTTTATTTTTTTACCATCATAACAAAAGGAAAAAAGCTCCTTAATCCATAATTGGCAGCTCGTTATACCCGTCTGCTGATAGCCACACATCCTGCCAGGCGTGTTTCCACACTTTATAAAAAGAACATCAATTAGCATTCAGA